ATATATATATATATGTATGTGTGTGTGTACCTTTTACTTGGGCCTGTATATATCCCTTATTGTTAGTAGTATCTTTCTACACGCGTGGAAGTTCTGTGTATTTGCGTTCATGTATTTCTGAACGAATATGAAAAGAGATAAAAGTAAATATATATTATAAAAAGAAAAAAAAATATAAGAGATTAGAGGGAAAGGGTAAAAAGGATGAAAACGAGAGCAGGATTATGGCGGATAATAAAGGCCATTATTGTCGATTGTTCTTTCATTTTATAGTAGAATCATCATCATCATCATCATCATCATCCATGATCATCTTCCTTGTGTATTCGACGTACGAATATTTTTTTCCTGCTATTAGAATATTCGTGATATTAATATCCTACAATTATTATTATTATTTTGCACAAATATTTTCTATTTAAATAATTGGAATTGAATTTAAATTTCATTAGAATTAAGAAGAAAAGAAATATTGTTTCTATCGATATCACACTTGCGTATCTTATTTATTATCATTTTTCCTATCAAAATTATTTATAATATCATCATAAAGATTTATGCAAGAAAATTTGATTTGAAATGTGTACACCCTGTATATATAACCGAGGTGAGAGCCAGAAAGATCTCTCTCGTCCAGGCAAGCAGTATAACGAAGGCGTCCCTCTACGAGTCACGTATTGCATGTCATAAATCGAACCTGATTGGCCAATAAAAGCGAACCGATCTCTTCCGATTGGTCCCTCTATCGCCCACGTGCTCCACTAATGAACACGTGACTTTTTTCTAATTACTCCACGACCAATCACCATTCAAACGAGAGCTTTTTTAATTCTTCTTCAAAGCGCGCCATTTTTATGCTTTTTCTTCGTTCTCATTTGGTATGTGTATATGTGTGCGTGTGCGTGTGCTTACTGGATATTTAAGTACCAGCTGTTGTCGTCATTTTTTTTCTATTATTTGTTACCACAAATTTCATACGCTTGTGGAATTATCTAAAAAAAAAAAGTAAAAATGCAATATAAAGACAAAAAGAATTAGAAAAAAAAACAATCGTTTCTGTTTATACGTGTGTTCTTCTTCGTATGCGTGTGACGTGGTGACGTCGACCCCGTATTATTATCAATTCTCAACTGAACTCGTTCAATTTTCTTCTCACGTTTTCTCCTTTTCTTTGATTCCTCGTATTCCGCGTAAACATAATTCGCGATCAATCGGTCAATAATTTATAAGTTTTTTTCCTCGGTCGCGACACTTTGGAGTCATGAAATTTTCCACAAATAATAACATGACCAACTTGACAGTAAACGATTATATTGCACAATCCTTTCTCCAACCCCCTCTCCCCCCCCGCCCCCATATATCATATTTTTGTATTTATTTTCTTTCATTTTCTTTTTAATCATTATCAATAAATTGTTTCAACACACTCTGTCTTCTTCTTCTTCTACTATTCTCTCGATAACGATTCTTTTTTATTTTTTTGTTTGTTTATTTTATCGAATATCATTTCCACATCTAATTGCAAACATTGGAAGAGTGTGGAGTAATTATAGATGAGTCATTTGTTAATTAGAAAGAAAAATTGTTTAATAAATCATCATATCATTAATAATCAATTACTTTCTCTCGGTCGCGATAATGCCGCTTGAATTAAACAACGTTTTTCTTTTCTCTCTCGTGTGTGTGTGTGTGTGTGTTTTTTTTTTAAAAGAAATCGAATTTTTCTTCTCTATTTTTTAATTAAATACAAATTCTCTCTCCTAAAGAGAAAAAAAAAACAAGACATTGTTATCTTCAGTCAATCGATAGATGTAGATAAAAAGGAACGAACAAACAATTATTACATATTACTCTTTTTTTATTTCTTTTCATTTCTAATATCATTTGTTTGAAATCAATTTAAATTAATTTCTAATTATATACGCGAGAATAGAGTGCAATAATTATAAACCAACGGATTTTTATCGTAGGATTTGTTTTTTTCATAATCGAAGGGTGTGTGAGAAGGGGAGGAAAAATTATCTTTACAAACATTATTTGTTATTCTCGTAATTTGTTAAATGTAAATATTCTTAATAAGAGAAATAAATGTCTTGAAAGATGAAGATAAGATAAGAAGATGTTAATCAATGAACGATGGATGCATATAATATTACTACTACTACTACTACTACTACTATTAAAGATATTTTAATGTACGCTCGTGTCTCTATAATTATACTTCGAAACATAATCGCTTAGGGCCTTTAACATCAAGGATATCATACACGATGTATGTATATTTCATTCTCGTGATTCTGCGGCCTGATTACTTGCTCGATTCGAGATCCATATCTGGTGGTAATTAGGCATCTAATTAAGCCGAACAATTAATCATCGTGCACGTGTGTATATGTGTAGCACGCGTATCGCACCTATAATCCTATCTATATATTCATCTATATATATATATATATATATATGTGTGCGTTTATATGTGGGTGTTTCCCGTGTATATACATACGTTTCATTTATATATAAATTCTTCAATATTTTATTTCATTTCTTTTTCAATTGAATATTATTTAAAAAAAAACAATCCAATTGCGAATTGTAAAAATTGTAATTGAATTTCCTTTACGTTTAAATATAAAATAAAATTCTTAATGAAAAGGTATCACAGGGAACTTGGACATAAAAAAGAAGTAGAACT